CCCCCCCTCCCCCCCTGTGCCTGTCGCTGTGGTTGGTAGTGTCTTTCGAATCGCAGGTGGAAGGAATGGTGGATGGGGAGGGATAGTGGTGTTGTGTGGGTGTGGGGAAGGGGATCGGATGGGATCGGATGTGGGTGATGGGGTGTGGGAGGGTGGGAGGGGTGGTGGATGGTGATGGTGAGCATGGGGAGGGGGGGAAAGGAGGGGGGGGGGAGGCAAGGACGGTGGCGACCTTGTCTGACTGATGATCATCAAAAGTGAGTGGTCCATGTCACAAGGACAGGCACAGCCATGGGCATGATGCGGAACGGAGGGGGGGGCATGGATGACGATGGTGACATGAAGGTGGGGATCGGGATCGGGAGAGAGGGAGGGATATGTGCTGTCATTCTGTGATGGTAGTTGTACCGGAGATGCTAGCTGTGATGAAGAGTATGGGTGAGGTCGTGGAGGCGGGGCGGGCGACGGGAGCGAGCGAGGGAGAGAGTGTGGGCCACTTATCTCGACGTCTGTGAGAGAGGAAGGAACTATGGCGGACGACTCGCACAAGTTCTGGGATACCCAGCCTGTGCCTAAGCTGAGTACGTATGTGTAGGAGAAGAGGAAGGAGGGGCAGGGCAGGGCAGGGGAGGGGGGGCGAGGGGAGGTAGAGGCGGTGCGATGGGCGCCACCTCGGCAGGCCACACAGACACTCCTTCCCCTCCGCACACACCCGTCCCCCCCCCCCTCCCCCCCCTCCCCCCTGCCGCTCTCCTCGTCCTCATTTCTCTCTCTCTCTCTTCTCTCCCCCCCCCTCCCCCCCCCTCACCCCTCACCCCTCACCCCCCCCCCCCCCTTTGTGCGTAGGTGAGGACACGCCCGACGATGTCAACGAGCCGATCGTGCCCGAGTACGAGGAGATCCGCCAGGAGCCGTACAAGCTCCCGCCGGGTTTTGAGTGGTCGATCATCGACATCGATGCGCCAGAGCAGCTGACCGAGGTGTACACCCTGCTGGCCAAGAACTACGTGGAGGACGACGACTGCATGTTCCGCTTCGACTACTCGCGCGAGTTCCTCTGCTGGGCACTCAAGCCGCCTGGATGGCTCCCGCAGTGGCACCTCGGCGTCCGTTCGACCAAGAAGAAGTCGCTGCTCGCGTTCATCTCGGCCGTCCCTGCCGACATCCACGTCCGCGGCACGTCTGTGCCCAACGTGGAGATCAACTTTCTGTGCGTCCACAAGAAGCTGCGGACCAAGCGCCTTGCTCCGGTACTCATCCAGGAGATCACCCGCCGCGTCCACCTCGAGGGAATCTTCCAGGCCGTGTACACGGCTGGCGTCGTCCTCCCGCGCCCGATCGCGTCGTGCATGTACTACCATCGGTCGCTCAACCCCAAGAAGCTTGTCGAGGTCGAGTTCTCGTACCTCAAGCCGAACATGACCATGAAGCGGCTCATCCGGCTCTACAAGCTGCCCAACGAGCCGGTGCTCAAGGGCCTGCGGCCGATGACGCCTGCCGACGTCCCCTCGGCAGCCGAGCTTCTCCGCAACTACCTCACGTCGATGGACCTCTACCAGCGCATGTCCGACGAGGAGTTTGCGCACTGGCTCCTCCCACGCGACGGCGTCGTCTCCTCGTACGTCATCGCCGACGACAACGGCAACGTCACCGACTTTTGCTCGTTCTACTCGCTGCCGTCGACCATCATCGACCACCCCAAGTACAACACGCTTAACGCCGCCTACTCGTACTACAACGTTGCCACCTCGGTCGAGCTCAAGACCCTCATGAACGACGCCCTCATCCTCGCCAACAGCGCCGGCTTTGACGTCTTCAACGCCCTCGATCTCATGGACAATGCCGACTTTCTCACCGACCTCAAGTTTGGCAAGGGAGACGGCCACCTCCAGTACTACACCTTCAACTGGCGGACCGCGCCCACTACGCCGTCCAAGATCGGCCTCGTCCTCCTCTAGCCGTAGCCGACTGAGTAACATCCGTGTCAAGCGTGCATCATAGCGCGGCGTGCCTCCCTCGTGGGTGGCGGCCACTCGTCTCGTCCTCACTCGCCTGCAGCATGGCCGATTCCGAGGCCACGATGACCAGCGTGTACGCCGCGTACCTCGCCGCCGTACTGGATGGGGCCATGCCGGCGCCGCCTCCTGCGCCGCTGGCGGTGTGTGGGCGGATCGGACGAAGCCTCACGACCGCCTCGCCGCCGACGCCTGACCTCTGCGGCTGCGACGCCTCTGTCTGCTGCGACGCCGACTCCTCCGGCGTCTGCCCAACCTGGTGGCTCTCGACAACGACGCCCGATCTTGTCCTCACCGATGACACTACCGATCGGCTCGCTTTTGCCTGCGACGCGGACGGCATGGCCGAGATCGCTGCCTGGGCCCAGGCGCCGGGTGGCAGCTACGCCGTCCTCCGCAACCTCGGCTTTCAACACGGGTACATCGCGGAGAAGCTCGCTGCCGGCTACGTCTTCTACATCTTTGTTGCGCCAGCGGCCTCGCCGGCACTTGCCCTCGTCCAGGCGGACTGGGATGGCGTCGCCGACTCGGTCCGGGCCGTCTACTCGGCCGAGGTGTGGCAGCTCATCGAGCCGCATCTCGAGGTCGTCCGCGGCGTGCCGTACCAAGCGCTCATGCGCGACCTCCTCACCACCGTCGACATGGGCGAGCTCCGCCGCGGCGGCCGCAGCCATCCCGGCTACATCGGCGATGCCTGGCTCTGCCGCACCGCCGCCAGCTGGTCGCCCCACGACGCCGACGACGCCACCGCTGGCGCCATCTCGGCACACGCCGCCGCTGCCGCGCTCGCCGACCCGCCGGCGGGCGTCCCGGTCGTTGCCACGACCATCACTGCCTGCGATGCCGACTTTGCCCGCTCTCGCGCCGCCTATCTCGCTACAGGCATCACACCTGCCTACGTCCGCGCCTTCTTCTACCTCGAGGCCGGCCTCCGTGAGCTCTTCCGCGGCGACGGCTACACCCACCCAGAGATGGCGAGCGGGGGCGATGCCAGCCTCGGCGTCGCCGAGTATTTGGTTCACAACGTCTCGCGCGACTGTATCGACGACCTGCACATTGTCCCACTCCCCATCTCCCTGCCCAAGGAGCCTGCCGACACCGATTGACATCAGCCCAGCCCAGGCCAGCCCATCGCCAGCCCAGGCCAGCCCAGGCCAGCCCAGGCCAGCCCAGGCCAGCCCAGGCCAGCCCGGATTCGCGCCAGCGCCAGCACCAGCACCCACCCCACCCCAACCAACTCCCCTCCCCCCCCCTCCCCCTCCCCCCCCCTCCCTCCCAACCCCGTTCCGGGGCCAGGGCCTGACGTCCCTCCCCGCGCCCGACGAGGCCGATGACGGACCGGTGGCCGTCCTCAACGCCTCGGCCAACGCGCTGTCGTCGTTGGGCGGCCTGGCGGGCTATCCGGCGACCACCGCCCTCGACGTCTCGTACAACGCGCTTGCTGCCATCCATCCGGGCGAGCTGGCCCCTCTGGCCGGCCTCACGCGAGTCAATCTCTCGCACAATGCCCTCGCTGATGCCGGGCCGCTTGCCAAAGGCCTCGCCTGTGCCGACGGCCTCGCCGATCTGGACCTCTCGCACAACTCGCTCGCCGACGCGGCGCCGCTCGGCGCGCTCACCAGCCTTGTCTCGCTCAATCTGGCGTCGAACACGCTGAGGACGCTCGGCGGCCTGGCCTCGCTCAGTGGCCTGGCCTCGCTCGACGTCCGCGCCAACCTGCTCTCGCATCTAGACGACGTCCGCGAGGTGGCGCTCAACACGGCGCTTGTTGCGCTTCGACTCGACGGCAATCCGATGTGCGGGAGGACTGGTGCCCACCACGCCCAAGCTTGCACGCTCGCTGCGGAAAGATGGTGCCGTCACTGCTGCGGGTCGACATCCACGGCCGGCCGCCGTCGCCGCGCCGCGCCGCGCCGTCGCCGTCGCGCCGCTCGGCGGAAACACGCTCACGCAAGCGCCGCGACAGCAAGGCCGGCCCACGGCGGCGTGGCTTTGCGCACCAGGTTCATGTGCTCAGCGCCGAGAAGCAGGCGTCGCCGGTCCGCACGCCGTCGCTCTCGGCCCAGCTCATGGCGTCGGGCATCCAGCCGAAGTCGGCGTTTCTCCGCTCGCTCCTCGACGCCTCGCCGTCGCCGGTCAAGGCCGCAAGTGCGTCGGCCAAGTCGCGCCGTGGGCGACCGCGCCGCGCACAGGCGGCTCCTGCGCCGGTGCCCCTGGATGAGCGCCCCAACGAGAGCCTCGATGGCGACGGCGAGCCGCAGCTCGACTACGTCGCCATCCACGCGCGGCTGGCCCGAGCCACTGTGGCAGGGCCGCCGCACGCCGACTCTGAGCATGAAACACGCGAGTCCAAGTCCGAGGCCTCGGTCCCGCGCGAGCTTTACGAGGCCGCGCTGCGCAAGAGCGACGAGCTCGAGCAGCGGGTCCTCGCGCATCGGCAGGCGCTCAACGCGGTTGTCGAGTACTACACCCAGCGCGAGGCCGCACGCGATGCCGGCGAGGACGTCGGCTGTGCCGCTGCGCCGCACACCCTTGTTGCGCCGTATGGGGTGAGCATCGGGCCTGTGGGCGGCGGGTTGGCGAGCGAAAGCACGCCGGCCAAGTGGGTGGCGTCGCCGGGAGCGGCGCGCTCCAGCGCTGTTGGCGGGCCGGACCGCGACGCGCTCATCGAGTCGGTGGCCCGGCTCCGGGCAGCGTTGTTTGTGTAAGTTTCCTTTTACAGGTATGCATCCTGGTAGAGCTTGAGGAAGGCTTGCTGGACGTCGACGGTAAAGACCGAGTGCAGGCCGCGGGTGATGACGTCGACGACAGCTTCGGGAGCGGTGGCCGGAAGAAGGAGCGGCTTGAGGGCGGCGAGGAGGGCGGCCGTAAGGAGCGGGTAGAGGTGGAAGCCGACAAGAAGTAGCTGGTCCCAGACAAAGAGGAGCATGTCGTGCGGGAGAAAGCCGATGAATGAGGCCTCGAGCCACGGCCGGACAAGGGCAGCGGCCGACGAGGCGGTCATGAGCGAGATGGCCGACGACGACGCGGAGCTCGCGCCAAACGTCCGCCGATTGTATACGTCCTTGAGATGGAGAAAGACCATCGGGTCGAGGTTTTCCAGCAGGGCAAACGCCTTGGCGGCGTGCGCGGCAAGCTCGGCCTCGGAGAGCGCCGACTTGCGGTTGATCTCCAGCACCATGCGTGCGAGGTTGCGCGGGGCGTCCACATGCGGAAATATGGTGATGACCGGGTAGGCGAGAAGGACAAAGCGCGCGGTGTACTCTTGGCCGTCGACGTAGAGCTGGTTGACGACGTCACAGGTCCGGGTGAGATAAGTCTCGCGGAGCGGGCCGGTTGAGGCAGCAGGCTGCGGAGGGGGCTCGTCAGGCGGGACGGGCAGGAGCTCGGCGAGCTCGGCGTCGTAGATGTCTGTCACGGCCTTGCGCATGAGTGCGTCGATGTTGGGCGTGAGCGTGCGCTTGTTGCGGCGGGCAAGGCCAGGGCGGGCAAGGCCAGGGCGGGCAACCTCGTCGCTCGCCCGATCGGCGTCCGGCACGGCCGCCGCCCACAGGTGCTGGCGGAAAGAGGCCGGCAGCGAGGTGCCGACGAGCTCGGTGAGCTTGCCGCGCGAAAAGGCCTGCGTTTCTGCCGGGCCAGGGATGGCGTTGAGGCGGGCATTGAGGCTGGCGCGGCGGGCAAAGAGAGCGGCGAGGACCTCGCCGAGGACCTCGTACTTTGTCTGGGCCGAGCGAGCCTGGGTGAGCTCCGAGACTCGGGCTACGAGCTCGTCGTTATCAGCGAGAGCGTCGTCAGCGGCAGCGTCGTCGGCGGCTGTGTCGCGAGCCGACGGGATGCGCAGCTCGTCCTGAAGCTCGAGGATGCGGGCGCGGAGGCGGGCCGAGTGGACAGACTTGCGGTCCTCCCACTCGTCGCGCGAGAGCGGGACGCCGTGTGTTCGGCTCAGCTCGCCGAGGCCATCGAGCTGCCACTCGTCGTCGTCATCGTCGTCCCCGTCGGCGGCGGCGTCAGCGGCGGCGAGCCGGCGGCCCCACTCGCGGTCGATGCCAGCGACGAGGATGCGCTGGACCGAGTCGCGGTAGGTGGCGACGGCAGCGGCGGCATCGGCAGCGTTCTCACCGGCAGCCACGCGCGAGTCGTCGATGAGCCCGCCACGACCGGCCGATGCGTACAGCGCGCCGATGCGGTGTGTGTGGAGCGCACCGAGGACGTCGGCGGTGATGGCGTCGGCGAGACCAGACCGGACCGAGTGAGCCATGAACGGCGGCTCGAGGAGGGTCGGCATGAACCGAAGGTGCCTGGCGTGCGCAGTGCGCCAGGCCCGTCCCGCTAGTGACAGCGCCACTTGCCGCGCCTGCTCCTGCACCAGGTGGCCGGCGAGGGCCGAGTCGAGCGCCGGCGCCACCCGCTGCTGCACGCCGTACCAGCCTGTGCCAGGCAGCAGCGTCTCCTCTGGACCCCACCCTCACCGTGTTTGAAGCAGAGTGAGTGCCGCATCCTACCACCCTCCCCGGGCTCCCCACCCCTGGCGTGCGTACCAGCCATAGCCTCCACCCATGAGCAAGAGCGTGCGGCGTCGGGGTGGACGTTGGCAGGCAGAGCATCGTCATCGTCGACAGCGACTAGCTCTGACGACACGCCCAGCTCGATCTCCTCGTCGTCCATATAGCCTGTTTGTGTGGTGTGTGTGGTGTGTGGTGTGTGGTGTGTGTGGTGTGGTGTGGTGTGTGTGGTGTGTGTGGTGTGTGTGGTGTGTGGGGTGTGTGGGGTGTGTGGGGTGTGTGGGGTGAAGGGGAGTGGAAGGCTTTGGTGGCGTGAACAGTTGGCACCATTGATTGCCATTGATTACCATTGGTCAGTGGCCATTGGTCAGTGGCCATTGGTCAGTGGCCATTGGCTGTCAGTCGCGGTTTGTGGAAGCGACCATCACTGCTCTTGCCGCGTGTTGACAAAGTACGTCGTTGCCAATGCCCCCCCTCCCCTCCCCTCCCCCCCCCCCCCCTCCCCCCCTTCCGCCTTCTCCCCCCTCACAGTCTCTCGCTCCTCCACCCCCCACCCCCTCTCCATACCCCCCCCCCCTCCTTCTGCCACCCCTACCCCCCCTACGCTACCCCTCCCACCCCACCTTCCCTCCGGCTCCATTGGCGGTGGTGAAATTGACTGCCACCAGCCGAGCACCTCCGCCACACCCCACCCCCCGCCACCCCACTCTCCCGCACACTACCACCCTCACCCTCCCTCCCTCCCTCCCTCCCTCCCTCCCCTCCCCTCCCCTACCCTTCCTGTAGCACAGGAGTAGATCAAGGACTGGTGGTGCACACGGTAATTGCCCCTCCCCTCTTCTCCTCTCCTCCGCGTGTCCTCAACTATTGTGGTCATGGTCTCTGTCTGCTCGTTTGCAGCACTGCTGCGGCTGGCGGTGGTGGGCATTGTCCTGGGCCTGGTATGCGGCGGGAGTGAGGCTGCCATTACATCGTACAATGCTACGCTGACCGTGTCCAAGGGCTCTTCGTGCGATGTGCGTGTGGTCGAGGACATCGAGTATGTGTTCAGCACCAGCACAGGGACGGTCAAGTGGTACCCGGGTGCGGCGCCAGTGGGCGCGACGGCGACGCCGCTGAGCGACGGCGAGCGGGCAGAGCTGACGGAGGTCGACGGAGCAGCGGCACCGACGTTTGACGTTACCTTTACGCCGACCACCCGCAAGCGGCTGCGGTTCCAGTACACGTCGGCCGGCCCGCTGTCGGCGACGCTGTCAGAGAACAAGCTGGCGTGGATGGCGGTGTCGCGGGCATGGCCCGAGATGATCTCCAACGTGCAGACAACGGTCATTGTGCAGAGTCTTTCGTCGCTGACCGACGTGACGGCCTCCCCGCCCGGACTGGATCTCCAGGTTGTGGCTGCGGGCCTCGAGGCCAAGTACTCGCTCGGCGTCCTCGCCATGGAGACAGGAGTCTCCATCTCGATGGAGTTTCCGGTTGTGGCCAAGTGCAAGGCTATTCCGGTCTGGGTCTACATTGTGATTGCCATTGCGGCGACGCTCACGATCTGTGGCATTGTGTTCTGCATCTGGCGGTTCTGCTGCCGTCGGCCATCGGACGGCTTTATCTCGTCGTCGTCAGCATCGTCGGCTTCGTCCAACTCATCTGACGGCGGCGCAGCGCAGGCCATGATGGGAGGGCCAACCGCGAGCGCAGCCGAGGCCGGTAAGGTCGGCGGTGGCCCGGTGATCCAGAACAACGGCGGCGCGCTGATGTCGTACGAGGCCTCGGACGGCAAGTCGTTTGCCGGCAACGGCCAGCAGGCCAACGGCACCGGCCAGCCGCAGTTGATGCACCAGTCATCCATGGGCGACATGTACTCGAACGGTCTGGGCACCGCCGGATCGGCTATGTACACCGGCGACCAGATGAGCATGGGCATGGGCCAGCAGCAGAGCATGGGCATGGGCCAGCAGCAGAGCATGGGCATGGGCCAGCAGCAGAGCATGGGCATGGGCCAGCAGCAGAGCATGGGCATGGGCCAGCCGCAGGGCATGGGCATGGGCATGGGCCAGCCGCAGGGCATGGGCATGGGCCAGCCTCAGGGCATGGGCATGGGCCAGCCTCAGGGCATGGGCATGGGCCAGCCTCAGGGCATGGGCATGGGCCAGCCTCAGGGCATGGGCATGGGCCAGCCGCAGGGCATGGGTATGGGCATGGGCGCTAGCGCATATACGTCCAACCCGACTGGCATGATGACAGCCGATCCGTACCTCTCGGTCGGCCCTCCGCCGGCGGTCGGCTACGACGTCGGCGGCGGCGGCGTCGAGATGGCGTCACTCGGCCCTGGCCAGCCCACCTTTGACAACCCGGATACCCAGGTTGATGATATGATCAATGAGATCTTCGAGGCATGATTCCTGAACATACGTGGTAAAGTCGTGCTGTTTCCTCTCCTTGCCCGCCCGGCTCTCCGCCGGGCAGCGGACGGTCGCCTGCCGCCGAACGTCCCTTCCCCCCTCCCCGCCCCTCACCCCAGACCAGGCCCCTAGGCCAGGACAGGGCAGGCCACTCCCCTCTCTTCCCTTCACCATGGACACCACCGAGCTGCACGAGTGCGCCAAGTACGGCGACACCGAAGGCGCAGCCGACGTTCTCCGCGGTGGCCAGTGGGCGGTCCATGCCCTCCCGCCCGACCTCCGTCGCGCGCTGCTCAAGTCGGCGCTGGGCGTGGCCAAGAAGCGCACCTCGCCGTTTGCGGCCGCAGACTCGCTCGCCTACGTCCAGGGCCTGGCCACCGGTGACGCACCCGACGACGCTGTTGCTGCCTTTTCTGCTGCGGTCGAGGCCGGCTCTGCTCTGCTTCCTGCGCCTACGCCGACCGTCGGCGGTGGTTCACCACCTCCACTCGATGCCCTCGCGCTTGCGCAGATGGCCTTTGTCTATGCCCGGCTCACCTCGCAGGCGTACGCCTCGGGCATGCTGGCTGTTGCTGCCGCACTGACTGCGCTCGGCGAGTCGGGCGATGCCACGTTCAACATGCTCTACGCGCTGCTCGCCAAGTGGGCGCCGCCCGGCTTGTGCAACGACAGCAGCGAGCCGTCGCTGCGGGCACAGGCTGCACAGCTCACGCGGCTCTTGCTAGTGTACGCCGATCCGCGGAGCGAGGCGATGGTCTCGGCGGCCGGCGTGGACCTAGCCGCGATGTTGGATGCGACGACGGCCTCGCTCTTTGCGGCGCCCGAGCTCGGGCTCGACGCCGACGTGGTGCTTGACTTGTGGCTGTTCATGACGCTCACCGGCGCGCCACACGCGCTCACCTTTGTCCTTGTTGCCGCACTGGTTGAGGGCGGCGACGTTAGGCCGGGCGTCGACGGACTGGCCTCTGTCCTCGTCCGCGACCGTCTTCCAGCAGTCCTTGTCCGCGCCGACGCACTGCTGCGGTCGGCGCCGCGGGCGCTTGCGCTCGCACTCCGCTCGGTCCACACTGCACACCACGGCGGCGGCTCAGACGCGCTTGGACTAGCTGATGGCCTGGACCTGGCGACGCTCCCGTGCGCGACGGTCGACGCCGGGCAGGTGCTCGGCACGTCGGCGGCCGACGCTACCCGGGTGATCATTCTCGACACCCGCCCCGAGTACAAGTTCAATGCTGGCACTCTTCCGGGTGCCTTTCATCTCCCGCACCGCGCCCAGCTAGCGGCGGCAGCGGCAGCGGCAGCTGCAGGTGACGGCGGGATGCCGGTTGCCGAGTGTGAGGCGGCGTTGCAGCTGCTCGAAGCGCTTGCACCGCTCTGCACCGGGCCGGACGATGGATTTGCGCTCCTCGGCGACGTCGGGAGCAGGTACCACATGCTGGGCGAGGAGCAGGGCGAGAGCGCGACGGCCGCGACTGACGACGACGCCGTGCTGGAGGCCGCCATCGGCGTTCTCCTCCGTGGCGGCATCCGCCATGTGACCGTCATTGCCGGCGGCTACGCTGCAGCGCACGCGCTCTTCCGGGCCGGCCGCATCGAGCTCGCGCACCACGAGCATCTCGAGTGCATGAAGTGCAATCCCGAGTTCCGGCCGGCCATCACATCGGCGCTTCCGGGAACTCCTGCGGCGTTAGAGTCGCATGCGAGCACGAGCGCGAGCACGGCCACGACGCCACATGCGAGCGCAACGCCGAGCGCAGCGACACCAAGCACCAACGCCGGTGAGACGGAGAGAGCAGGAGGAGCGACGCCGTCGTCGGCATCGACCAAGATCCGGTCCAAGCTCTCGTCGCTCTCGATGTTTGTCAAGAAGAAGTCGTCGGAAGTCAAGGACAAGGTCAAGGACTACATGAGCGAGCGTGAGGCGGCAAGGCGTGTGCGCGACGGCGAGTGTGTCGAGGACGGCGAGCGTGAGGCGGCTGGGGCGTCGGGAGCGAGGCGTACGCCTGTTCGACAGCCGATCTTTGCGATTGGCGGCGACGACTCTGACCTAGACGACGACGAGTTTGGAGAGTTTGATGGCGACAGCATCAACAACGACAACGACGACGATGACGGCGGGTCGCTTCAAGTGAGCGGCGCTGGATATGGGCTCGAGGCGGTAGCAGCGACCGCGCCCGAGGTGGGTGGCGGGTTGGCGAAGAGGTCGTCGGTCATGGCGGAGTTCTACGAGGCCAACGCGGAGATCGAGGTCGCGCACTGGATGGACGAGTCGGACATCTGGTTCTATAATTGCTCGGCGATTTCCAAGATCGGGCACGAGGAGCCGCGATATCTGGTCATTTCCGGGCGATACATCACCTCGCTCGAGGCGCACCGCAAGAAGATGGGAGTGGCGTTTGTGCGGAGCCACCACAAGATTGAGAGCCTGACCAAGATGACGTACAAGAAGAAGAACCCGCACGTGCTCAAGTTTGGGTTTGCGGTCGAGGGCTTGGAGAAGCTCTCGTGGTTCAGCTACGCGCTGGTGGACCCGTCGCTGGTTATCGACATGGTCAAGACCAAGCTCGCGGAGCGGCGGGCGGAGCTTGATCAGTGAGGCGCAGATTATGTGCGAGTGTTATCGAGGCCAAGAGAAGAGGCTTAGGTGATGACTGTCGGCTCTGTGCGGCCGGTGTACTCTTCCATGCGCGACATGGAGAGGGCGAGGTTGACGAGCGGGGCGAGCTTCTCGGAGGCTGGGGTGGAGGCCTCTGAGGCGTCGGGCTCGTACTGCTCGATGTAGACACGGATGGTTGCGCCGGAGGAGCCCGTGCCCGAGAGGCGGAAGACAATGCGCGAACCGTCATCAAAGAGGAAACGGATGCCCTGGTTGGAGGCGCGGGCGCCGTTGACGGGGTCGACGTAAGCAAACTCGTCGGCGTGGCGGACGACGTAGCCGGCGTCGAGCTTGCCGCCGACCCAAGAGTCGAGCTTGCGGACGAGGCGGGCCATGAGCTCTGCGGCGCCGTCCGAGTCGACTTCCTCAAAGTCGTAGCGGGTAAAGTAGTTTCGGCCATAGGAGGCCCAGTGGCGGGTGCAGATGTCCTCGACGGAGGAGCCCGGGTTGGCGGCGAGGATGGAGAGCCAGGCGAGGACAGCCCAGAGGCCATCCTTCTCGCGGATGTGAACAGACGACTGGCCGAAGGACTCCTCACCACAGATGGAGATGAGGCCGGCATCCATGAGCGAGCCAAAGTACTTCCAGCCGGTGGGAGTCTCGTAGAGCTCCAGGCCGAGATGCGCGGCGACGCGGTCGAGGGCCTGGGAGGTGGGCATGGAGCGGGCGAGGCCTGTGAGCGGCGAGCGGGCAAAGAAGGGGATGGTGTCGTTGGCATGTGCGGCGATGATGGCGACCGAGTCGGACGGGTTGACGAAGAACTGGTTTCCGAGGACCATGTTGCGGTCGCCGTCGCCGTCCGAGGCGGCGCCAAAGTCGTACTTGCCCGAGTTCATGAGCTCGACGAGGTCGTGGGCGTAGGTGAGGTTCGGGTCCGGGTGGCCACCGCCAAAGTCGGGCAGCGGAGTGCCGTTGATGACGGACGAGGGCGGGGCGCCAAGCTCGTCGACGAGAACGGCGGTGGCGTAGGGCCCTGTGACACCGTGCATGGCGTCAAAGACCATAGAGAAAGAGCCCGATGTGAGAAGGCTGGAAATTGCCGGAAAGTCAAAGATGCGCTTCATGTTGTCGACGTAGTTGGCGACCGAGTCAACGACCTGGACCTCAAAGTCAGAGCCAGCAAAGGTGTAGCGGGCCGGGGTGGCGAGGGCGATGTCGTCGATGTCGTCTGCGGTGAGGATGCGCGAGATGGACTTTGTGGCGTCGTAGATTGCGGCGGTGACGGCGTCGGGAGCGGGCCCACCATTGCCGATGTTGTACTTGATGCCAAGGTCGCCATCGGGGCCGCCCGGGTTGTGCGAGGCGGTGAGAATGATGCCGCCTGCGGCGCCAAAGTCGCGGACAAGGGCGGAGACAGCAGGGGTGGAGAGGATGCCGTTCTGGCCGACGATGAGCTTGCCGACGCCGTTTGCGGCAGCCATGCGGACGATGAGCTGGATGACGACGTCGTTGTAGAAGCGGCCGTCGCCACCGACCACAAGGGTGGCGCCAGCGAGGTCGTCGACAGCGTCAAAGATGGCCTGGACAAAGTTGGCCACGTAGTTGGGCTGCTGCATGACGGCGACCTTCTTGCGGAGGCCCGAGGTGCCAGGCTTCTGACCCTCGTACGCCGCAGTCTCGAGGCGTGAGATGGTAAAGGCCGGGCGCGGGCGGATCTGCGGGGTGATGGCGGACATGGAGATGCCGTTGGCGGCGGCAGCGGCCGAGGCGCGGGCAGCACCGGCGGCGGCGCGCGACCGCAAGCCGCGCATCGACGGAGATGATGGCGGCGGCGGCATGTGATGGGCGCGACGGGCAAAGGGTGAGTAGGCGGCGAGCGGCGAGTAGGCCGGCGGGTGGAAGGCCGGCGGGCCGGGCTGGGCCGGCGAGAACGACATGGCCACTAGCGGCGAGGGGTAGGCGGCCGGACGGGCAGGCGAGGGCATGCCGAAGCCGTAGGCGGCGCCCACCGGCGCACTCGACAGTGCCGGGCTCGGCGAGTACCAGCCGGACGAGGGCAGCGGCGAGGCGAGGTTCATGGCGGCAGGCGAGGCCGGCAGTGGCGAGGGGTGGGCAAAGAGGGCGGGCGGGGTGCCGTAGGGGAAGTACGGGCTGGCGGGGGGAACGGTGCGGCCAGCTGGGGAGGTGTACGGGAACGGGAACTGGGCACGGTACATAGCGTGTGTATGTGTGTGTGTGTGTGTGTGTGTGTGTGTGTGTGCGTGTGTGGTGGGGAGGGTGTGTGGTGATGGTGGTGGAGTGTGGGGTGTGGGGTGATGGTGGTGGGGTGGCCAGTGTACGGAACGACGATAGTCATAGTCATTCGTAGTCAAAAGATTTAGTCATTAGTTAGTCAGTCAAACGTCAATGACTAAGATGGTGATCAAGACGGAGACACCCCTCTCACACGCAGCATGCCCCGTTCTTCGGCCTTGTGGCAGCTTGTCACGCACCAGAACAGAGAGGCTCCTTGCTGCAGGCTCTGCGGCAAGCAGATTAGCCTCAACAGTTTCAAGTCGACCTCAAATATCAAAAGCCACTTCCGA